AAATATTTTAATGATACGCATGGACCTTATTATTTTTATCAAGATTTCATTAATTCAGGCTGCAAATGCTAAGGAATTATTCCCTATTATGTCGATGTAATTTACTTATGAGAGGCTGAGTATATACTGTAAATCCTCTTCTCATTTTTAAGCACTTTTCTTTTAATTGTCTGGCCGCCTGTTCTTGATTTTTAACCAGCTGGGTGATTATTTCACTTTTCTTCTGCCTATGGATTGTCCTTCTGCCAAATAATATTCAAAAAGGTTTGAAAGATATTAGAAGTCATTTAAAAAAAAATACTAAAAAGAATTACTCAACACTGTAGGTTGTAAGAGACAGATTCTTTCTATCCATTTAGCCTTTCTATCCATTTAGCTACAACCTGCTTCCTTTTCAAATCTAGTCCTTCTTTTACTGAATATATGATTATCAAAATTCTTGTTTACAGGTACAGACAATAATTTCCAGTTAAGAAACATGTAAGTTTTTTAAAAATATGTACGGTACTTCTCATGTGAGTTCATGGAGCATATAAGAAGATTTAAATATTTATTGTCAGTCATTGCTCATCAGCCGTCCCAGGTAAGCCTGACAAGGACCAAGTGAGCTAATTCTACTTTATTATAAGGCTACCTTAACAGAATCTTGCAAATCTGAAAGAATCCTGCCACCACTTTTAACAGTCTGATCACTTAGTGCAGGTCCTTCCTAAATTTCTCTTCTCCAGCCATTAAGAAGTGGGGGCTCTTCCTTCTTGTCTGATCGTTTCCTAGGCAGCATATTTTCTCCTTGTCTCTCAAGGTCATTCCCACATACCATTACACTTCTATACATCACTATGTACATGAAGTCATTTCCATCTGTTCCAAGAATAATCTGCATATTGCCAAGCTCTGTTTTTATTTTCTCCTCCCGCACAAGCATATTTCTGGTCAAATTCTCTAGTTACAAAAAAGGAAAGCAAAAGAGCAAAGAGATATCTGTATTAAGCATTATACTCACCCACTGAATTCTGGAAAAGACTCAAAATGACTGTACTATAATTTACGTAGAATTCAAAAATGATTTAACTTACTTGGTAGATGACCACTACTTGAGAAACAGAATGATATATTTTTGGAATGTGTTTCATCATCTCTATATATTTTTTTAAAGATATAAACTCACCCCCTGAATTTTATACCTATACAGGATATCTGAAAACTGATCTGTGTCAAATCAACACTTTCTTTATAATGCTATAGAAATGGTTTGTGTTGCCTTCATCTATTAATTTCTCGTCAATCTAATTTGCAGCTTTGCTTTTTCCAAATATCAACCAGACCTGACCCTACTCAACTGGGAAGTCCATAAAATGTTGCCTTGTTTCTTATTAAAGGATTCATAATATATGACACCACCTGAAGTACATTTATATAAAGACACATACCTTAAATCATTTTGGAACTTATTTTATGAAACAATAGATTTTGATGCAGCCAAACCATTTGCATTAACCTTTGTCTTGTGAGACAGAATATGCTACAAAGAAGATTCTCTCCATCTTCCATGATAAAAATGCAACAGTATATTATATAATTAATGCTGTGCTGCCCTTATAAGTCACTTAGTCTACCAAATGCCAAACATCCTTTAAAATTGGATCCAGGTTCAGCATTGCATTCTGTCTTCACTGGGTATGGGCAGTACATAAATGACAAGGGCAAAAAAAGAATTTCTGGACTCAGCAAGTAAAAATACAAACCATATCTCCACCCAGCATACTTTATTTAATCCAATATTGAGGCCACTTGACTTCTTGATAACCAAGAGTGGCTTACAAATTCATTCATTCATTCATTCATCCATCCATCCATCCATCAAACTTGTATACCACCCCTCTCATGAAAGGCAAGTCCAAGCAGCTTACAAGACATTGAATAAAATGCACTATAAAACATTAAAATAATAAGTAAGAATCTTAAATTTTAAAATGAATTAAAATAAAACTAAACAGGATAGAGAGGGAGGGAACAAAATGTGCACAGGAAGGAGGTGGAGTACTATTAACCACCTCCAACTGGGACAAGAAGCTGGCTTGCACTGTCAAAAAAGCCAACACAGTCTTAGGCTGCATTAACAGAGGGATAGAATCAAGTTCCCGTAAAGTGTTAATACCACTTTATAATGCCTTGGTAAGGTCACACCTGCAATACTGTATCCAGTTTTGGTCACCATGATGTAAAAAAGATGTAGAGACTCTAGAAAGAGTGCAGAGAAGAGCAACAAAGATGATCAGGGGACTGGAGGTTAAAACATATAAAGAACGGTAGCTGGAACTGGGTATGTCTACTTTAATGAAGAGAAGGACTAGGAGTGACATGATAGCAGTGTTCCAATATCTCAGGGGTTGACGCAAAGAAGAGGGAGTCAAGCTATTCTCCAAAGCACCTGAAGGCAGGACAAGATGCAATGGAGGGAAACTAATCAAGGAGAGAAGCAACTTAGAACTAAGGAGAAATTTCCTGAAAGTTAGAACAATTAATCAGTGGAACAACCTGCCTCCAGAAGTTGTGGGTGCTCCAACACTAGAAGTTTTTAAGAAGAGATTGGACAATCATTTGTCTGAAAGAGTATAGGGTTTCCTGCCTGAGCAGGGGTTGGCCTAGAAAACCTCCAAGGTACCTTCCAACTCTGTTATTCTGATATTTTATCCAAGATATGGGTTGGGTTTACATAACACACAAAATTAATTTTGATTTGCCTTAGCCACTGCTTATACATCATGGTTCACTCATTATTTAGCATTGAGCGATTCCATGCAATTTTAGATTAATAACCACAGCTAAACCTTGTCTTACTGCATAGTACAAATAAACCTTGCCAAATAACAATATGACATACTGTAGACATACTTTACAGTACAGGGGTCAAACTCAATCACATCATATGACATATCGTGATGTATCATGATGTTTTTTTGCCTTTGTGGAGCTGGGGTGGGCGTGCCCTGCACGTGATGCATCCGGACCGCGGGCCGCCAGACTAACATCCCTGCTTTAGAGGAAGCAACCAGTAATATAGGTCTATCTAATTTTTCAGCAAGGTTTTCCTCAAAACATGTCTTGAATTGTCTTCCTTCTTAGCATGCTGTTTCTTTTCTTAACATTTTCTTAAAATCTTTAATATTTTAAATGTTATTTATTTAACTAAACAGGGTTCAGTGATAGAGTAAATTGTAGGCTTCTAATCCTAACTCTTTAAACACAATAGTAAGCAACGGTAACCAACAGAAAATGCTTCCCAAAGTTGTTTCCTCCAATTTGCTGTTTTCTATGTGTGTTGAGCTACCATCATCCCTCATTGCTCATGCCTTTAAACGTAACTTGGATAACTGCAACTAATTAAAAAAAAGCAGCTGCTAAAGTGGTTAAAAAAAGAAATTTATGTAGCTTTTGGCTACTCCAGACAAAGCAATTGATGTGGGAATACTGAGTGACCACTTTAGCAGCTGCTTTTTTTTTAAATGTTTAGTATCTTTACTTTTCTTAACCAACAATATTTAATTTTACAAGAAAATTAAAAATACAAACTGAAGATACAAATTGAAAAGAAAAAAAATCGTATTTTATACTCATCAGTATAAAAATCACTGGTTTACCAATGAAGTGAATACTATAATATAAGCAAAATAAGATATTATTGTGAGATACCAAAAGTCTCCAACACAATGGGACATATTGCTGCATCCTTTGATTGTTAGAAAATATTGCTTTTTCTTAATACGATAGGTGATGCAATTACAATTCCTTATAAAAAGTCAAATTCCAAAGCTTTGATATATAATTCATCATTACATTCACATTAACATTGAAAGATTTTGCCATAAATCTACAAATATACATTTCAATAATATCCTTGAAGATGTGACTCCTGGGTAAATCCATAGTATAAAATAGATAAAAACTCACGATCACCAGGAGAATACACAATTCGAAAAAGTTATTAAAAGATCACATGATCATATAATGTGGTCAATAAGTCTTCAATTATTTACACCTCCAGCATAAAAAAAAATCTGATCTCTACCCTTTTTGGGGAGTCCAATATAACTTCAATATAATTTATTAATTAACTTCAGTAATTGCAATGCATTTAGAAGGCATCCATTTGGGAAAGGCTGACCTGAAGACTGTACTTACAATAATTGCCTAAATAATTATCATATTCAAAGCTAAATACATTACCTCTTAATAGCTCTTAGTTATTAATCCATATTGTATTTATGGTATCCCTTATCCTGTAAAACATATATTCCTATGTACTTCTTTATGTAGATATCCCACTGAGTTCAATGTGCCTCATTCTGGATAAGTGGATAACAAGATTGCAACCTCCACTTCAAAGGGAAAATTCAAACCCATAACTCTTTTTTTTATTTTAAAAACATTTACTGCTGCTAAAATAACCTAATATTTTTTAAAGACAAGTTGAACGTAAAAAAGTTCTTTCATCTGCATACTACAGTGATGGCGAACCTTTCAGAGACCGAGTGCCCAAACTGCAACCCAAAATCCACTTATGCATCGTCGGGTGCCGGGTGGGTGTGGCCCATTAGGTGGGTATGGCTCATTGGGTGGGTGTGCCCCATTGGGTGGGCGTGGCTGCAGTGGTAACAGCAGACTGGGTGGGACTAAAAAGTTCAATCAATTCCAACTTTGCAAGATCTTTTTTTTTCCCACGAGAAGTTGAAATTGACTGATTGATTGAACCTTTTTTTTGTACACGGCGGCAGAGGCCTAAAGCGAAAAGGTTTTATAAAACCCAGCTGAAGGCCTAGGACGGGGCAATGGCGCGCATGCCCACAGAGAGGGCTCTGAGTGCCGCCTCTGGCACCCGTGCCATAGGTTCGCCACCACTGGCATATTAGCTAGAAACTTTTTTTAAAGATTGATTTAAAAAAAAAAAAAAAAGTCATTCGCACAAAAATGCCCCAAGTCAAGATATTCTCAACACTCACCTTTAAAGGAATGGGAATGCCGCTCACTTCTTTCATGGTATACTGAGAAGCAAACCTTGGACCCTTGAGTAATCTGATCCAATTGTGGCAAGACATTCATTTGCAGGAGGGAAGAGGCAAAAGGAGGAAGTTCCTCTTTTCCACAACTCCTCCCAGTTCAGTAACCCACCAGAAGCAGGAGGTCTGCTAGCAGCCACAAGGAGAAGAACATTTCAATTGGCTGGACTTCCAAACAAGGAGAATGCTACAAGAGGCACCCATAAACTCAGCATCCTGTGACCCTGGATAGGCTTATGATATTCAAGGAATAAATTGTATCAACAGAAAAGAAAGCTGCATTCGAAAGGGCAAAAGACAAACTCAACAATCATTGTTTGAAAGAAAATGGTTTTCTTCCCTCCCACAGGAGAGGCAACCAGGCAACAGGTAAAGTTTTTTCTATCATATCTTTGTACAGGAAGGAGTTTCACCTGTTCATGTGTATAAAAGGTACACTCAAGACTAACTGAGGAAATCTGGTCTCTACTGCTGCTAACCAGGACATTCAACTAGCAAGTTCATAGAGAGGAAGGCTGTGTAAAATAACAGAATAGCAGAACTGGAAGGGACTTTCGAGGTCATTTAATCCAACCCTCTGCTCAAGCAGGAGACTATCTATACCATTTCAAACAAATGACGGTCCAATCTCTTCTTAAAAACTTCCAATGCTGAACCACCCACAACTTCTAAAGGCAAACCGTTCCACTGGTTATTTGTTTTGTCAGGAAATTTCTCCTTGGTTCTAGTTTGCTCCTCTTCTTGATTAGTTTCCACCCATTGCTTCTTGTCTTGCCTTCTGGTGCTTTGGAAATTGATTGACCCTCTCTTCTTTCTGGCAGCCCCTCAAATATTGGAACACTGCTATCATGTCACCCCTAGTCCTTCTTTTCATTAAACCAGACATACCCAATTCCTGCAACCATTCTTCCTATATTAGCTTCTAGCCCCATAATCATCTTTGTTGCTTTCCAGAGTCTCAACATCTTTTATTATATTTTGGTGACCAAAACTGGATGCAGTATTCCAAGTGTGGTCTCACCAACACATTATAAGGTGGTATTAACACTTCACATGATCTTGATTCTATCTGTCTATCCTTAATGCAGCCTAGGATTGCATTGGTTTTTGGCAATTGTAGTACCTCATTTAAGTGACTGTCCACTAGGACTCCAGGATTCTGCTAGCAGGTTTCACCTCAGTCAGGTTTCATCTATTCTCTATCTGTATATTTGGTTTTTAAGTGTTCAAGTCTGTTGAGATCCTTCTGGATCTTGTGCCTATCTTCTGCCAGCTTGGTGTCCTCAAATTTAACAGTTCTCCTTCTATTCCCTCATTTATATCATTTATGAAGATCCTACCAGCAACTGGAAATATGTCTGATATTTATATCAAGAACTATGGAAGTTTAGTCCAAAACTTTCTGAAGGGTTGTGAAAGACTTATGGGATGCCAGCAGGTAAAATCCTTGTAAATATCATCCCTAGTATTTTGGCTGGCTTTCTTTATATATTTTTAGGCAGGGGCCAAGTTGCTATCATTCAAATCATTATTCTAAAACAACTGTTAAGATAAAGCTCAGTTCCCAGTTTAGCTCTACTTAATTACTGTTGGAACCATAGTGATTTATAGATTGTTTTTATTTTGTTCCTTTTAGCACATTCTTATAATTTATTTTTTTTACTTTAAAAATCAGGAA